TGCCCTCCCGGCCTCCTTTACGCCCGACCCTCGTACTGATCGGCTGTCGTCTACCCAGTCACCGGAGGAGATGTCTCGTTGTGGCCTCGTCGACGTATCGGGTGTCATTGCGCGCACCTACACCTGCCCACACTGCCCGCAGAATTTTCCCACCTTAATTGCCCTTCGCACCCACTGCACCAAATCCCATGGGAAGCCTGCCCCGGATGTTCCCTCTTCGGTTGACCCAGAGCCCCCTTCTGCCTCGATTTTACACACTACATCCGTTCGCCGGGAAGCTGCAGCTCCCCCCGCTGCTGTTGTGTCTACCCCTTCTCCTGCTATCCCGCCCTCGCAGAAGGAGCTTCGTGCCAGGTTCATGCAGTTCGCTAAGGATGGCATGCCCCACTGTCTTCTCTGTGATCGCCAGTTTGCTGCATGGCCGCCTTTTCTGAACCATCACTACACCAACTCCTGCCCTGCTCAGGCTCATGATGGATCCCTCGTGAAGGACCCTGCTGCCCCTGCGGCCTCCTCCTCAGTCCTTGTTGCTGAATCAGTCCCTGATGCGACGCCTCAAACCTCCGACCTGGTCCCGCCAGTTGGGGTGGACACTCCACCTCCCGTTGAGGTGCCCTCTCATCAGTTGCCGCTCCTTCAAAGATCCGACATCCGAACACTGGCCTGTCAGGAGGATTGGCAACCTCTGGCACACTACCTCCGCTCCCTGCACTCTGCTCATGGGCTGCGGCACTGCCCTGTTTGTCATCAATGGTTCACTCGCACACAGGACATTTTTCGGCATCTGAAGAGGCAGCATCCGCTCCCGGCACTGCAAGAGTCAATGAGAGCTGATTGGCTTACAGCAAGGACGGCTGCCGCCCGCTCCCCTTGTAGCTGGTGCAGACTCGCTGTGACGTTTAAGACTCAGCACGCTGTCGCCTGCCCTGTTCTACAACAAACCATCACTTTGCGCATCCTCATTCGCCATGAGCTTGGCCTCCTCTCTTGCCCTGGGCAGCGGCCTCTCCCTGCAGGAGACACAACAACGGGAGGCTCAGGCCGAGCTGTTGCTCCTCCAATGCTGGGGAGAGGACAAGAAGGCGATGGTTCAGGACACGGCCAACAAGCGTTCGGAGATGGACCAAACGGAGGAGCCAGAGAGGGAGCGCGACGCGAAGTACTCCAGACCGGACTCCAAGGGTGGCTACGGCAGGGGCGGGAGAGGCAAGGGCAATCAGCCAAAGGCCAATGGCCCTCGCAGACAGCCCTTCCGCCGCTCGGCGGAGACAGAGGCCGGGGCGCCGGAGGGCATGATGTGGCTTCTGGGCAAGCTCCTTCTTCGGCACGAGGATCAAATGGGCATCGACAAGACCCAAAACAGCTTTGTCATGTTCTTCAAGCGAGAGAGTGCTCTCTCCCTGATCCCCCTCTTCGTGCAGAAGTCTCAGCACTGGAATGCCCTCAAGGAGCAGAAGCAGGAAAAGATGGACGAGATTGCTCTCCCTCTCAGAACCTTCCTGTTTCATACCCTGTTGGAGGCTCTGGTGAAGCGCATCAAGGATACCGTGCAGAACGACGAGCAGCTGAAGACGGCCACCACCCTCCAGGTGTTCCTTCCACGGGACGGCGACGCGGAGCTACAGGTGCCTTTTCTAAGCTACAACCAGGAGACCAAGACTCTGGCGCCTCGGCAGGATCTGCAGCCCCTTCCGGTCTCAACGATGCTCGAGAAACTGCAGGTCTTACAGAAGCAGTGCCTGTGTCCCCTGGCCATCATGCGCTTCCACTCCACCCAACGGCTCAGCGGGCCTCTCCAGGGCCCCACCGTGCCCTTCCTGCTTCAGGTGGGTCACAGATCGCCGGAAGCAGCCGAGCTATATCTGAGCCTCCGCTCGCTGGCCAATTCAGCGATTTGGCAGTTGGTGGGAGGGTCCCTGCGCCCGGAGAAAATGGGTCGCTCCGCGCTGGCGACAGAACTTGCTCGCCGTCTGCAAGGGCCCTTCACTCAGAGTGCCTGTTCTCCCTCTCACCCCAACTGCTGCGTATACGCAATGCCTCCAACCACTGCTATGCTAACTCGATGCTGTGTTGTCTCCACTGGGCCAATCAGTTGCTCTGCTCAGCACCGGCTCATCCTCAGGTGATCTGGTCTGCGGCCATGCATTCAGTCATGCGGAGAATGACTACACAGGCGCCTGTCCCTGATCTCTGGTCTCTTCTCCAATGGGCCATCTTGCATTCCGGGTGGACCCGGCCACACTCCCAACACGATGTTGCGGAATATCTCACCTTCTGTCGCAGGTTCGTCATTCCGGACCTGCTCTTGGGCAGGTGGCAGAACAGGCTTCTTCTTACCGACTGCAACCCTCTTCGCTGCCAGGTGCGTGACTGTGGGGAAGCATGGCCTATGCTCCTTGCAACGCCGCCCTCTCAGTGCGATACAGGCCCTAGTGGCAGAGTTACCATCCAACGGCTTATTCATGCATGGAAGGTCCAAGCTGCGGTTGGAGTCACTGCCCTCGAACGTGAGCCGAGCCTTTTAGTTTTGCAGGTCAATAGGTTCAGCCCTGATGCTATCGGTGCAAAGGATGCAACGTGTGTGCTGCCCGATCCTCGCATCTTGCTACCATGCTTTCAGCATCGACCCACTCCGCATAATTCCGCCCTTCTTGTGAGACACTGCGAATATCAGCTGATTGCAATCATTATGCACGAGGGTCCCGATGCAGCATCCGGTCATTACCGTGCGCTCCTTTGCACTTACCCTCCTGAATCGGAGCCCACTTTCTGGCTATGCGACGATTCAAAAGAGCCGACCACTCTCACCGAGTTGCCGCTACCAGCATTGACCACGGGCTATCTCTACTTCTACTGCCGCACTCAGCAGTCTCAGCAGTCCTAGCATGCTCGGAACGTTGTGGGCCATTCGTGGCAGGTCCCGATCATCGCTACGGCTGCTAGCACGTTTTCTCACCGACGTGTGCAAATGCACATGGCTCACAGCAGCCGGGGTGGCTCCCTGTCATAACAGCCTCGCCAAGCGGACTTCCTCTGCAGCGTATGAAAAAAAAAAAAAAAAGAAAAAAAAAAAAAAATTATACAAGGTTCGAGGCGTTTTTTTGGCCGGGGGCTTCAGGCTTCGGTTTAGGGCTTAGGGAAAGTTTAACGTGTCAGGTTCCCGGGTAAAGCTTCAAAGAGTTTTTGGGTATGTGCCGAAACCGTTCTCGCAACGAAATGGTCTGTAGCTTATAGGGATGATCGCGCCGACGATTGCACGAACCTTTTGGTGGGAACCTGTTATGCTTGGCTATTGGGGTTATACAGCCCGGATGTTCTTCAATTCGACGACCCAACTCCCTGTTTAACCGAAGTCAGTTAGCCTCAACTAGTTTCGTTGTAAAGATACAGATGCGAACATATCCGCACTTTTCGCGAAGTTTCTTTGTGAACCCTCAACCCCAGCCCCGGCGCCCTAAAATCCAGACCCGTCCGCAAACATACCAAGGACCCTATGTGATTACCAAGCCGGAGAGAGGCTCCGTGGCACACAAAGATGGTCATGCTTTCATTGCATTAAAAAGACCTTGTTACTTCTCGCTGTCACAATCACGTGGAGCTGCGCTTGCAAGCAGTGAATGCATGAAGAGCTGCATGCTGTGAAACACAAAGGGCTCTCGCAGTCACACCCAGGAGCGTGAAGCGAAGTCGCTTGGAAGAGCTTCCCTACAGCTATGAAGCTGATGAGTTTATTCGCAGCTTGGCTTCAATGTTAGCTTGTCTGTGTGCTCGAGTGCCTACACAAAGAAGCACGCAATTGCTCGCTGCAAGTTTTGGATAGGCATGATCGGATCCGGGAAAATCCATGTACACACGGTGGCTGAAATCGCACGTGCTCAACTCTTGGATGGGCATGTAATGCCGAGCGTGGAAATGTTCGCCTCCTTGGGTGGCTTTGGCAAGCAGCCCGGGCATGAAGAACGAGACCTCCATCGTTGGCTGCATGGCCTTCATGAAGTTAGCCTGGAAATTTATTGGACGACCATGAAGCTGCAGGCTTGCTTTCGCATGTAGCTTCCTTTCGCGTGTAGCTCATCCGGACAAGTAATTGCACACGCAGGTACCAACTTCTGTGAAAGTTGAAGAAGTGCAGATGCCTGTGCTGCTACCGCACGAGATCCTTCACGCTCTGGCTCGCGCAGGAACGTGCCAGGCACACTTCACATCCTAAGTAGAGGAAGTTGCCTGAGTTCTGTCCGTTGTACTATGTTTCCCTGCAGTTTGCGAAGTCAATGACGGGACATCGCGATGGTGCAGCGATTGAGGAATTCTGGAAGCATTGCAAAACTTTGGACGAGTTTGCAGCTCACCCCGTTTTGCAAGGCCAAGCCCCGCTTGACAGATTCTGGCTTGCAACAACAGGTAGATAGGACATGTCACCAAAAACCTGCTGTCCGTCCATATACTAGAGGACTGCTCCCGTTCAATTTCCATTGTGATGGGGCGGAGTTCTACTCCAACTGCGAGTTCGTGGTCTGGTCTTGCTCATCTCTGTTTGCAACTGGAGATGCCTCTAATCTGCATGAAGCCGTTGCCGCGGATGCGTCTGCACGGGGAACCCATCCCACATCTATGCAGGTGTGGGACATCAAGTTTCCGTGCGTCATCGTGCCGCACGAACTCATGTCCCTGAATGAAGCTGCTCAGCTGCATGTTGAAACGGCTGTGCTGACAGAAATGTATGTGCGAACAGGTTCGTGATGGAGTTCATAGACATGTGGCGCAGCTCTTGGCCTGGTCGATGAAATTTGCCGCTGAAGGCAGGTTTCCAAGCGTCGGCTTCCACGGCGAAGAGTTTGAACTGAAGAGTGTTCGTCGTCGCTTAGCAGGGGCTGAGTTGGCCCAGGGATGGAGGCATCGAAGTGTCTTGTTTCCACATGTCTTTTTTTCCACGCATGACATATCCTTGCGGGCCGAGTTCATTTTCAGCATCGCATCCCTGCAGGGGTGCATTCCATTCCATGAAGTACGACCTCAAAGCCAGAGTCCAATGCAATTTTTTCTCTCGGCACTACGGGTGCAACCTGGTGTGCGAGTCCTGCTTCGCTTGCAAGCCTGCCGATTCAACCGAGCCCTTGATGAACTATCGCAACTTTAATCTATCAGCTGCTCACCGTCTGAGCCGCATAAGTCATCGAACTTATGTGGCACTGACGCCACCGGAACAGTTGTCACCATGGATATGCATGTCCGGGTGGACCCTGGAAAGCTGCACTCGCGATCCAATGCATGTCATCTACTTGGGTGTTTGTAGGGACATCCTGCCCTCAGTCCTTGCACAATGGTTGGACGCAGATTTGCTTCCGCAAGCGAACACTCTCCATGAGAGGCTGAGGCTCCTGTCTATCGAAATGCATAAGACATGCAAACGGGCCAGGTGACTCGGTGCACAGGGTTTTGTTCCTACGGCTCTCAAGCACCGTCTTCATTCACGTTGCCCGTGTCCCTAATTCTTGGACTCGCGCTGCATGAAAGCTGAGGCTATCATGCCGCCGAAAATTCTTTACGCCGGCGAACTGCAATCTTGGCAAAGCGGAGTTTCCGGAACTGGCTTCGACGTGGAAAGCTGCTGAGATAAAGATCATAATGTGGTTCCTCACCGTCAAAGCTGTTGAGCTCACGACCGGGACAGATGCTCCTTGTTCCGATGTTTGCTATGCGTGTTTTGTTTTGTTGCTGCCAGTAAGAAGCTCCAGTGACGTTTGGTTGTTTGCTTAGGATGAGATGCTCAAAGCGAGCACAACTTGCATTTGGTCTCTGAACGAGGCGATGTCCGTTTTGGACATGCACGATCTGCTTCTACCAGTGGACGCAGCAAAGCGAGTCGGAGATCTGCTTCGCCAAAGTCTGCTCCACTGGCAATACTTGGCGGGCAAGTACTGTGAGCTTGGCATTCGAAGGTGGAAGCTTCGACCAAAACATCATGTGCTGGATCACTTCTCCGACGAGGTACCCAGAACAAGGATCAACCCAAGATTATCCTGCAGTTGTTTCCAGGAAGAAAGTTTCTTGGGCCATCTGAAGCGAATTGCGGTGAAGTGCTCATCGGTTCGTGTGGTGGAGAGGACGCTCCAGCGATTGCTACTTTTACTAGGGCTGCGGTGGCATCACACTCGCGAGTATGACCGTGAGTTGCAGTCACATGCGGCGGCTTGCTTGCAGGCCCAAGTTGAAGCCATGACGTGAAGCTGGCTGGGGGAGCGACAAAAGTAGCCGGAACTGTCGATGCAACTGCGTTGTGTGCTGCTCGCATATGCCATTGCATTCGCGCTGCTTCATGCTTTTCTCAATTGCTAGATGCCCCCCAAACCCCCCAGCCCTACATTAAATGCCTTAATATCCTTAATGAGGCTCAAAGGCTCAAGCCCGCGGGCTCAAACGACTAAGACTGGCTCAAGCTCAAGATTTGGTTCAAGCCCCATGAGTGGCTGTTTCCGTTTCGGCCCAAGCAAATGCCAGCTGCCGGACTGCGCTTCGCAGCGTTTTAGGGTCAAACAAACGCCAGCTGCCGGACTGCGTTTCGTATAGCGTTTTCGGGTTAAGCAAACGCCAGCTGCGGGCAGAGAGAAAAACACAAAGTAAAATGAAAATCGTTTTGTTTCGTTTGTTCCCACCGTTGCACTGAAATCTTACATATATACATATATGATATACACACATGGATACGAAAGAAACGAACTGGATTTGTACAGTGTGGTGTAGACAATTCTGTCTACAGACACAGGTTTTCCATGCAACGTTTGTCCCTTTCGGGTTAAGCAAACGCCAGCTGCCGGACCGCGTTTTGTTCGGGTTTAGCAAACGCCGGCTGCGGTTTAGCAAACGCCGGCTGCTGGACAGCGTTTTGTTCGGGTTTAGCAAACGCCGGCTGCCGGACTGCGTTTTGTTCGGGTTTAGCAAACGCTGGCTGCCGGACTGCGTTTTGTTCGGGTTTGGCAAATGCCGCGGCGCTTTAGGGTTAAGCAAACGCCAGCTGCCCAAACGCCAGCTGCGGGCAGAGAGAAAAACACAAAGTAAAATGAAAATCGTGTTTGTTTGGTTCGTTTCCACTGAAGTCTTATAGAACATGCACACATAGATATGCATGTGGTTATGTTTGTGTTGAAAACAATGAACGATGTAGATAGTTCTGTGTACACACACAAGTTTCCAAGTAACCCTCGTTCGATTCGGGTTAAGCAAACGCCAGCTGCCAGACTGCGTTTTGTTCGGGTTTAGTAAACGCCGGCTGCGCTTCAGCAAACGCCGGCTGCCGGACAGCGTTTTGTTCGGGTTTAGCAAACGCCGGCTGCTGGACAGCGTTTTGTTCGGGTTTAGCAAACGCCGGCTGCCGGACTGCGTTTTGTTCGGGTTTAGCAAACGCTGGCTGCCGGACTGCGTTTTGTTCGGGTTTGGCAAATGCCGCGGCGCTTTATAGGGTTAAGCAAACGCCAGCTGCCCAAACGCCAGCTGCGGGCAGAGAGAAAAACACAAAGTAAAATGAAAATCGTGTTTGTCTGGTTCGTTTCCACTGAAGTCTTATAGAACATGCACACATAGATATGCATGTGGTTATGTTTGTGTTGAAAACAATGAACGATGTAGATAGTTCTGTGTACACACACAAGTTTCCAAGTAACCCTCGTTCGATTCGGGTTAAGCAAACGCCAGCTGCCAGACTGCGTTTTGTTCGGGTTTAGTAAACGCCGGCTGCGCTTCAGCAAACGCCGGCTGCCGGACAGCGTTTTGTTCGGGTTTAGCAAACGCCAGCTGCCGGACTGCGTTTTGTTCGGGTTTAGCAAACGCTGGCTGCCGGACTGCGCTTTGTTAGCATTTTAGGGTTTAACAAATGCCGGCTGCTCAAACGCTAGGTGTGGGTAGACAGAAAAACGCAGAGTAATATGAAGACTGTGTATGTTTCATTTATGTTCCAGGAAATATATGCATGCACACAATGCGAGTTGTACTTATATATGGTACATACGCCGATGTACGCAAGATACGCCGATGTACGCAATATACGCCAATATACGCAGCTGGCGTATACAAATAACAGCTGCCGCTGCCGCAGCTGGCGTTTGTAGCGCCAGCTGTCCCTTGGAAGGCTGCGGGCCCCAACGGTGGCAGGCTCCGACTCTTCCCGCGGCGACTCTTTCCACGGCTCGTTCCTGGCCTTCACGCACCTTGCATGGGTCGCGGGCGGGAACGCCGTTGCACACACGTGAAAAGCAAGCACGAGGATGCATGCAGGGTCGTCTGCACAGTTGCTGGCGGGAGCCAACCACCGGCCGCCATCGTCGTGACCTGAGGTCCGGACTTCTCGGCAGGCTCCGACTCCTTCGACGGCTCGTTCCTGGCCGTCGGATTTCTTTCGTTGCACACACATGAAAAGCAAGCACGAGGATCCGTGCAGGGTCCTCTGCTGGGTTGCTGGCAGGAACCAAGGACTGGCCGCCATCGTCTCGACTTGAGGTCCGGACTTCTTGGCAGGCTCCGACTCCTTGCACGGCTCGTTCCTGGCCGTCAGATTTCTTTTGCTTGGCCTAAGCTCGGAATCCAACAAGAGAGCCGCCGACCGCCACCGTCGTGACTTGAGGCCCGGACTTCTTCGCAGGCTCGGACTCCCCCGTCGGCTGGCTCCTGGCCGTGAGGTCTTGTGCACTAGCTCCTGTTTCCAGCCACAATCCCCAGAACACCTGTCGGCAAACGAAGATGCGGGAGACGTCGAAATCCTCGCGATCAGGACATACGATCAACCGCAAAGCAACGAGCACGAGCAGCCAGCTCTTTCTGCCGAGAAGCCTGAACATGTGCTCTGCAAATGCACGCATTATCTTTTCGTCGATCCTGCAAACTGCGAGTGCAACACACAGTGACACACACACACACACACACACACACACGCAGACACATTTATGAGTTTCATGTCCAGAGAGAACCTGTCCTCGCCCAATACAGTTGTTGACCCCAAAAATTTTCAGCATGTTGGCCCAAGTACCGGCGACACATGTTCTCGAAAAGCGGCACCAGCCATTGCCGCCACGTTTCATGAGTGCCTCCCTTTCCCAGCAGGTCGACTGTTGCCTTGCAAAAGCGCTGCATGATCTTGTACAGCAGCTGGCCATCTTGGCGGGTCGTTTGTTCACTTCTGTTCTCTAGGGCCGCGACGTCCAAGAACTGCAACCGCTCGTAGTTTCCCTCGTCCATGCCGTAGTTGTCAGGTTTGGCATCCCAGAGGGTCCACCCGTTCTCGAAGAATGTGCCGAACATGACGAGCGCGGATGTCCACAGTTTCAGGTGCTCCTCAAGCAACCGATCCGTCATGGGCAGCTGCCAAAGCTGCAACAGTGCCGTCTCCATAGAAAGCCCAACGCGATCGCAGACCATGATGGCGCCTGCGACCTTCGAGTCCCTGGCCCTGGGATCGTCTTCACTCCCTGCCATACGCCAGTCACGGTCGCCCCACAGGTGCACGCCTCCGTAGTAATGGGGCATGCACGGTCGTACTTTGCCACTCCTGTCGTACGCACCCCTGTACATTTTCAGCTCTTGCAGCGGATCGTTTTTCCCCATCCAGTCATTTTTGTTCATGCCCGCATTGGGCACGATCTTCACCGCCAACTTCCAGGTCTCCAAGCCGTAGACCACCTTGTAAGCTCCGGTACCCAAACGGTAGAGCATGTCCTCGATGAAGATGGCACCGCCGCCGGGCACGCGGAACTCGAGCTTGGCTCTGCCTTTCTGCCATCTGATCATTGGGTTTTTCTTGCTGTACCCGTCCATGTCTGCTTGCAGCTCTGCAGCGAACAAATTGGCATTCGAGGGCAAGGAGCGGGCCGCCATAGCCCAGCGGCACACCGAGCTTTCGCAAGACAGCGTCAACCCGGCGGCACCGCGAAGACTAGCGCCACCACAGAAATCGAGCCCGAGCTACGCAGCAGCCCAGCGGCACACCCAGCTTTTGCAAGACAGCGTCCACTGGGGGGCACCGCGAAGGCCAGCGCGACCACAGGAATCGAGCCCGAGCTACGCGGCACGCACAAATCGAAAAAGCATACAAAGGAATGCATGCAGTCAAATTGAAAGCGCATGGAATGCAACTCTCATCAGAGCGATTGTCTTGCTGAGGACAAGACCGGTAATTCTCGTGGTGCGAGTCGAAACAGCCTAAGCAGCAGCAGCAGCAGCAGCAGCAGCAATGACAAGTGCAAGGCTTTGCTCGAAGCGGCCCTCCAAGTCACCATCTAAAGCTCGAACCGGCTCTGGCGGGATTTTGACAGAAGCGCCGCCAAGCCCGTCACAACCATGATGAGTTGGCCGCAGCCCCGCGCTTTCGCAAGACAGCGTCCACACGGTTCCGCGGCCATGCTACATCTGCGTGTCAGGCTTTGCTCGAAGCGGCCCTCCAAGTCACCATCTAAAGCTCGAACCGGCTCTGGCGGGATTTTGACAGAAGCGCCGCCAAGCCCGTCACAACTAGCCGCCTGGGCCATGATGAGTTGGCCGCAGCCCCGCGCTTTCGCAAGACAGCGTCCACACGGTTCCGCGGCCATGCTACATCTGCGTGTCAGCGGCGCTACCTCAGCCCGCACTTTTGCAAGACAGCGTCCGTGCAGCAGAAAAGTGCATCCTACATCTGCGCGGCAGCCAGCTCTTTCTGCCGAGAAGCCTGAACACGTGCCCTGCAAGTGCACGCATGCACGCTTCGTCGATGCTCCTGCAACGTGCGAGTGCAACAC